GAACAGTAACACTGTGTGTGGAATGTCCCCACAAAGCATGTTTTACTCAAGATGTGTGAACACTGACAGAGCTGGACTGGGCTGGAAAACATACAGTATATGAACAAAAGTTTGTCGACACTTGAAAATCACACCAATATATGGTTCTTCCTCAAACAATGTTGGAAGCATACAATTGTCTAGGAGCTGTGTATTGTGTTATCTAGTTTTGAGAAATGTACTTTTTGATTATTCCCCCATGAAGTCTTTCACAAAGTGTTGAAACATGACCCATCTTTGCCAATCTTTTTTTGTGTGTGTTGCAGGCAACAAATTCATAATTTGTTTATATTTACAAAATGCAATCAAGTTGGTCAACCAACACATTTTGGCCATTATAACAATTTACAGTCAATTTCTGATAGTGAAGTGAATTCTGAAGTGAATTTTCTTAAATTGCATTTTTAGAAAAGCTATTTTCCAGAATTTGTTTTTATTTTTAATTCCACTAATAATATTGTCAAATATTGTGTTCCCGGATGACCGTTTTTTTCCCCCACAGATTCCTAGGGGGTACTTTGTAACTGCGAATACTATTTCAAATGTTGTTTATATGGTTGCTTGTATTTACAGATTGCCAGGTTTTTGTACCAAGACTGAGATGGACTAAAAGTATCATAGTAAGTTCTCAATTAAGTGGCAAAAAATAAATAAATGTTTACTGAACTGGGATTTTGTTTTAATCAACAATTATTTTCAGTATCAATTATTCACTGGATTATATTCTTAATTGATTAATTATTTGGTCTATAAAATACCAGAGAGAAGTGAAATATGTGCATCACTTTTTCTTTGAACCCAAGATGTCATCAGATGTCTTTGTTAAATCAGCTGTCCAAAATCCAAATATATTCAGGTTATAAAACAGTGTAAATAATGAAAAGAAATGTTATCACACTTACAAAACCTGCAAAATTTAACTGAATCAATGATTGATTAATTATCAAAATAGTTGAATTTATTTCTGACAATTTACTAATACAATTTAATCATTAATTATTACAGCTGTACATATTCTTAATTATTTTGTTTTATTTTTAGATGAAAGACACTGTTCATGACAATTCTGATGAACTGTATGATTCCACATCGGGGAGTGGCAATGAATATGTTCCAGATACCACTTTTGAAAGTGACAGTGGAAGTGAATATGGCTATAAACAAAACCTAAGGACCAAGCATCAGTCTCTTGATTTGCCTGATGTCTCTGGTTCAGTGAGTTCCCCTGTCTGTGACTCAACAACGCCAGACAAAATGACTTTTGATGGGCACAACCTTGCATCTGAAGCCACTGGAGCAGAAGAAGAACCCTCTTCAAGTCAGAACGTAAATGACATCATAGTTGTTAAGGCATTAAAAAAAACAGGAGGGAATAGAATTTACAACAAGAAACACTATTGCTTTTATTGTTCTCAACCTTATTCTAAGATTGCAAGGCATCTAGAAAGTGCACATGAAAATAAACCTGATGTGGCTAAAGCTCTAAGCTTTCCAAAGGGTTCCAAGGAGAGGAAAAAACAGCTAGATTATATTCGCAACAGAGAAAATTATGCTCACAATGCTGCTGTAATGGAGTCAGGAAAGGGGGAACTAGTGCCATTTAAGCGACCACGTAAAGAAGTGCAGGGAAAGGACTTCATGCACTGTGCATATTGTCAAGGTCTTTTTACAGAGAAGGTCCTGTGGCGACATATGTATAATTGTAATCTTAAACCTGGATCAGTCACTCCCAAACCAGGAAAGAACCGTGTTCATTCCATATGTACATACACAGGGCCTGTGCCTTCACACATAAATAAACAACTGTGGGGAGTAATCGGTGGCATGAATCCTGACCCAGTCACAGATATAGTCAAAAATGACCAAGTCATTATTTCTCTTGGACAGCACTTGTTAAACAAAGGTGGACCATCACGTAAGAATCAACAGTATGTGCGAGAGAGATGAGAGAAATCGGAAGGCTGATTTACAATGCCAACAGTGACCACCTTAAAAAAACTGGAAGATTTCATAAATCCAAAGAACTACATGGAGACTGTCAAAGCTGTCAAGTTTACATGTGGGTATGACAGTGAAACAAACAAGTTCTTAATTCCATCACTGGCAAACAAACTTGGTAATGCCTTGGTTAAAGTAAGCAGACTTTTAAAAGCTCAGGGTTTAATCTCAAACAACAAAGAGCTTGTTGAGAATGCCAGTAAGTTTCTAGATGTCCATCAGCAAAAGTGGAATGAGATGATCTCAGCTACAGCACTGAGGAACATCAGTGAAGCGAAGTGGAATGTGCCCACTCTCATGCCCTTTACTGAAGATGTCCAAAAAATGCATGCATATCTCAATGAAATGCAGGAGAACTGGTACAAATCACTCAATGAAAATCCCTCTGTAAAAGCCTGGATTGAGCTTACAAAGGTGTGTATGACCCAGATCATTCTCTTTAACCGGTGCAGGGAAGGAGAGGTGGCAAGCATGCCCTTATCTGCATTTTTATCAAGAGACACCTCTGATCCACATCAGGATGTGGACTGGGCTCTATCTGAAGTGGAGAGAAAACTTTACAGACACTTTACACGGATTGTCACCTGGGGGAAACGTGGTCACCCAGTTCCAATTCTATTGACTCCAAAAATGCTGTGTGCATTAGAACTCCTTGCTAAGCAGAGAGGAGCCTGTGGGGTTCTAAAAGACAACAATTATATGTTTGCGAGACCAGAAGCTATGACACATTTCCGAGGTTCTGAATGCATCCGTGGATTTGCAAAGGTTTGTGGTGCAAAGTGTCCTGAATCACTGACATCTACCAGACTGCGAAAGCATGCTGCAACCCTTTCAACTGTGCTGAACATGACAGACACAGAGATGGACCAGCTGGCCACCTTTCTTGGACATGACATTAGAATTCATCGTGAGTTCTATCGACTCCATGAAAAGACCCTGCAACTTGCAAAGATCAGCAAAGTTCTAATGGCACTCGAGCAAGGAAGATTAGCTGAGTTTCATGGCAAGAACTTAGATGAAATTCAGATAGATCCAGATGGTATGTTATTTTATTTGACTTTTTTGCTTATTTTTCTATTTGCTATCTATTCTTTTTGTTTAATCACATTGTTAAGCTATACTTTGTATGACTTCCACAGAAAAAGTTCTGAAGAGTGATGAGGAAGACTTCCAGGAGGAATGTCAGGCAGGTTCATCAATTATAGATGGTATGTATTGTCACTAGTTTAAGTCAGTAAGTTTAGTTTATTAGAGTAAACTTACTTTCTTGCTTTAATTGAAGTCCCAATGCATAGAATGGTATCAGCATTCTTTCATTTGTTATTTAGCTAACTAATGCCAGGGGCATATGGACGTAATAATTGGGACTTGAAAGCGACAATGATTAAAAAAAAATAAAAATCAAACATAATTCATTATGTACTTATCGTAATTCATTGCCAATATCAGAAGTCAATCATTGGACTACTTTTGATAGATACTGACCACTGCAGATCGGGAACACCCCACAAGAGTTGCAGTTTTGGAGATGCTCTGACCCAGTCGTCTAGCCATCACAAATTGGCCCTTGTCAAACTTGTTTTGATCCTTAAGCTTGCCCATTTTTCCTACTTCTAACACATCAACTTTGAGGACAAAATGTTCTCTTGCTGCCTAATATATCCCATCTACTAAAAGGTGCCATGATGCAGAGATAATCAGTGTTGTTCACTTCACTTGTCAGTGGTCATAATGTTATGCCTGATTGGTGTATATGCTTAGCATCTTGTACATAATGATACCAAGCCTGTCACTCTGATTTTAATCATAGTTCTGGTTTCTTGAGTTTTGCCCTCCTCTGCCTGTTTACTGACTATGATTTCGCTGTACATTTAGGATTTTTCTTATTTAATAAAATAATTGTTTTATTGCATTTGCATCCACCTCCAGCATCTGCTCTAAATGTTGATTATTTTCCATAGAACCATCAGCAGTAAAATGCCACCACCACCGTCCAAGAGACATAAACCACTACCATTAGATGATACAACACCTTCGGTAGTCAGTACTGTGAGGCCTTCATCCAAAGGTGAACTCTTTACTCTTTTGTATGTATTTGCAGATGTACTGTCAGTGTATGAATTAAACTAGATATGGCCAAATGTTGTAGCAGCCAAATTGCTTTAATTAAATGCTTTGCTGCCAAACTGTTGTTGCCCCCAGCAGCTCTACATTGTTCTGCTCTGTCTCAAGATCACAATTCTCAGAAATCCATCTGTACCATTTGGTGGGGCTAGTTTGTTGTTGCTAGACTCTACAAGCTGCATGAAGTGGGACAGGTAACAGTAACTGTTCTAATAAATTAAACATTAGTAATAACTAGCCCTTATATCAACTGGTTGTTCACAGGGTGCTGGAGCAATTTAATATGAATGACTGGATAACTTCCAGTATTACTCATAATATAGAAGCAACTCAACTTCAAGTAGCTTTAATATAATTTTAATATAATCATATCTGGTATTGTACCAGCAAAGAGTGATTGTGAGAGGTGTATAAGAGCTGAACCAGAAGCTCTTAAGCAAAGGAACTGGCAGAACCTGAAATTCTACGTTTATAACCGCATCACGGCCTACAAAAGGGAAATGCAACGTAAATAGTGTTGAAGTTTACAAATTCTCTGGTATGGCAGTTCTTGTCTCCATTTGGCATTATATTGTTTTGCTGTAAAGTGCAGAAATGCCAGTGATTTAGAAAGGTACCTGTTTTAAAACTCTGTCAACAGGAATTTATTTGCTTTTAGATTCACTTGATTTAATTTGGTGAGTTCGTCAAGTTGAACTCCTAAAAAGTTGCAAATTTTGCAATTTAAATTCAAGCTTAATGTCATGGCAGTTCTTGTTTCCATTTGACATTATATATAAGTACAAATAATAGCCAAAAATGCCAGTGATTTCTGTTTTATATGAGGAAATCCTATCTGAAAAATCAGGCAACAGGAATTTGATTGCTTTGAGATTCATTTGACTTAATTTGATGAGTTTGTTTGTGAAGGTGAACTCATTAAAAGTTGCAGATTTTGCAATTTAAATGTCGTGGAGTTCAATCTGTGTTTTTATTATAACAGAAGTGTGGTGGAATTTACCAATCTACCAAGTTCAATCTTCTGTTCAA